AAATCTCATACTCCTAATCAGTGTGTCTCTCACTTCATTTTCATCATAAAATGGAATGAGGAACTAATTACTCAAGAGTAACAGACACTGATTAAAAAAAAAAAAAGAGTAACAGACACTGGTAAAGCTCAATGAGAAGTAGTATAATTGGTTTAGAGAGTGAACTCTGAAGCCGTACTATTAAAGTTTGTATCCTAGTTTTGCCATTCATTAGTACTATTCCTGGGCAAGTTACCTAAGCTTCTCTGTGTCCCAGTTTCTTCCTATATAAAAGGAGATCATAATAGTAACTACTTCATAGGATTATTATGGAGATTAAATGAGTTAAGACATGTACAGTGCTTAAAATAGTACCTGGACCCATAGTAAGTGTTCAATAAATACCAGCTATCGCTTTATCACTACTACCATCACTAAAGACAATGACTGCTCTAAAAAGAAAAGTGACCTATTAGGAATATATTTTTTTCTCTCTCTTTTTTTAAAGATTTATTTAATTTGGGGCGCCTGGGTGGCTCAGTTGTTAAGCGTCTGCCTTTGGCTCAGGTCGTGATCCCAGCGTCCTGGGATCGAGCCCTGCATCGGGCTCCCTGCTCAGCGTGGAGTCTGCTTCTCCCTCTCCCACTCCCCCTGCTTGTGTTCTCTCTCTCTCTCTGTGTCTCTGTCAAATAAATAAAATCTGTAAAAAAAAAAGATTTATTTAATTTATTTGAGAGAGAGGAGAGAGAATGAGCAGGAGGGGAAGAGGAAGAGGGAGAGAGAATCTGAAGCAGACTCCACGCTGAGCAAGGAGCCTCATGCAGGGCTCTATCTTACCCTGAGATTACCACCTGAGGTGAAACCAAGAGTCAGATGCTTAACCGACTGCACCAGCCAGGTGCCCCTAGGAATATACTTTTAACTTAACATCCTATACTGACTAGGTAATGTTCCCTACTTCTGGTAAAGAAGAAATAGCAAGAATTCTCATTTTTCTCCTGGACACGTTTGTTGATCCTTTCTATTGCTAATAATAAACTTACTGTTATATAAAAAGTACCTGTAAACATGTGGGCTACAGACAAGAGGCTGAAGAAAGTATCTTGCTGAAATCTAAATTTGGTGGATATAGCAAAAGTATAAAGGCTAAAAGGGCATAGCAAATGCTGCGAAATTCTTAAGGCTCCTCATTCACAAATATCAACACAATGACAAAAAGAACTACTTTAGGCATAAAATGTTTTGAACATCTGTCTGAATTCATATTTTGCACATATTTGGACTCTGAAAGTCCTAAAAAGAGGTGTTAAGATAAAAAAAAGGCAATATGTACTACAGACCAGATTTTTCCTACTTGTCACATACCTTGCTGAAAATATGCTTAAACTGCTTCAGTGCATACTTTCTGGAAACAAGACACAGCTCTAAAAATTAGCAAAATGTCTGAGTTCAAGTTTAAAAGTACCCATAGCCACCAGAAGCTCTAAATTAAAGATCCCCAGAGGTGGCTTTTCTCTGATGTCAGTCATTTTTCAAAACTAAGATAATGCCAGCCAGCTATTTGTAAATCACTTTCCATCTTTTTAATTTTTTTTTTTTTTTTAAGATTTCATTTATTTACTTGACACTGAGAGAGGGAGAGAGCACAAGCAGGGGGAGCGGCAGGCAGAGGGAGAGGGAGAAGCAGGCTCCCCGCCGAGCAGGGAGCCCAATGCGGGGCTTGATCCCAGGACCCAGGATCATGACCTGAGCCAAAGGCAGACACGTAACCGCCACCCAGGCACCCCTGATTCTTTAAATTACATAGGACACTAATAAATACTTTCATTTAATTCTCAGTAAGAGGTTAAGATAAACAATTCTGAAGGAAGTCAGTCAGAAAGTTTGGTGGAGGCAAGTATTTTTGGAGAATTTGAAAATGAAATATTTAGTTTATCTGTACATGAAAAATATATACATCTAGGGGCATCTGGCTGGCTCAGTGAGTAGAGCATGTGACTCTCCATCTTGGGGTTGTGAGTTCAAGTCCCACACTGTGTGTAGAGATTACTTAAAAATAAAAATCTTTTTTTTAAAAAATGTATACATAGGGGCGCCTGGGTGGCTCAGTCATTAAGCGTCTGCCTTCAGCTCAGGTCATGATCCCAGGGTCCTGGGATCGAGCCCCGCATCGGGCTCTCTGCTCGGCGGGAAGCCTGCTTCTCCCTCTCCCACACCCCCTGCTTGTGTTCCCTCTCTCACTGTGACTCTCTGTCAAATAAATAAAGTTAAAAAAAAAAAATAAAATAAAAAATGTATACATATATACATGGAATAACCCATTTGGTTTCAATTCTTCTTTAAAAAAAAAGATTTCGGAGAGAGCATGCATGTGTGCACGCGCATGAGTGGAGGTGTAAAGGGGGCTGGGGGGCAGATGTAGAGGGAGAGGGAGAGAAGCAGACTCCCTGCTGAGTGCAGAGCCCCATGTGGGGCTCAATCTCATGAACCTGAGAACATGACCTGAGCCAAAATGAAGAGTTGGACGCTTAACTGACTGAGCCACCCAGGTGCTCCAAGATTACATTTTTAAGGGAGATAATAATAATAGTACCCTGAATGGAACACGTAGTGTTTTTTACTGTGCTAAGTGTTTTCCATAATTATTTTATTTAATTCTCTCAACAACTTGAGGTAAGTACTCTTATTATCTCCATCTTATAGAGATGGAGAAATTAATTATTAGAAAGGTGACTTGCTTGGGGTGCCTGGGTGGCTCACTCATTAAGCGTCTGCCTTCGGTTCAGGTCATGGTCCCGGGGTCCTGGGATCCAGCCCCGCATCAGGCTCCCTGCTTGGCAGGAAGCCTGCTTCTCCCTCTTCCACTCCCCCTGCTTGTGTTCCCTCTCTTGCTGTGTCTCTCTCTCTCAAATAAATAAATAAAATAAAATAAAATAAAAACAGGGTGACTTGCTCAAGGTCACTTTTGAAATTAGCAAGTGGCAAAGCTGATATCTGAGCCTAGATTCTGACTCTTAACCGCTCTCCTACATTCTCAACTCTTAACTACTAAAGATACTGCCTCCCTTCAGAGAAGGTAGGAAATAAAACCCCATAGGAATTTTCTTTTCATATTTTTTTCTATTGTTTGTATTGTCCTCATGTTATCTGAGGTTTGCTTGGAATCCAAGTAAAACAAACAGTTCCTGATAAAATATATTAGCTGGCAGTGAATAGGTCAGAGACCGAAGAAAGGAGTTAAGTTAAAGGTAAAATATTTGCTGACACCAGCCTAATGTATTTAAGTAACTGCCAAGAAATTCTTGTTCTAAAGGCTACATATGGGGGCACCTTGGTGGCTCAGTCGTTAAGTGTCTGCCTTCGGCTCAGGTCATGACCCCAGGGTCCTGGGACTGAGCCCCCCATCGGGCTCCCTGCTCGGCAGGAGGCCTGCTTCTTCCTCTCCCACTTCCCCTGCTTGTGTTCCCTCTCTCGCTGTCTGTCAAATAAATAAAATCTTTTAAAAAATAAACAAATAAATAAAGGCTACATATAAGTCAGCCAGAGACATTTTAGTGTTGCCCACCAATAAAATAAAAATAATGGCTCTGGGCTGTGGTATCCATACATAACAAGGCACATGTTTATTCAAACAAAGTATCTATGTGCCAGGCTCCTAATTCATGTATCACTAAATCTCTGTTTCAAATGACGAAATTCACAAGGCTATGGACTTTCTAAAATAATGCTTATACCTAGGTTCTCCATCACAAGGTTGAGATCTCTATTAGCCTCAAGACATTTGCATGTATGGAATCGTGGTAAATGATTATCTAAATTTTCAGAGAACCTATGTTTTACGGCAGTCTGCTCAGTCCTGCCCTGTGGAATCCTATGTATTCTGGAATTAGAACTCAGAACTAGAGTTGCCTAGATCAATGGAGAAGCCTCAATTACTGGTTATGGAACAAGAAAGGGCAAGACCCCAAGGAAAATTCCTATTCTTTCCCATCTTACTGAAAAACACCAGAATTATATATGCTCTGTCTTTTCCTTTGAGGTACGGTTCACCTTTAGGAGACAAAAGGACAAACAATGAAGAAATTAAATTTATATTCCAAAATGTTATTTTCTTCCAGAGATAAAGAGTAGTATCTGAATTACATATCCTGGAAAATTTCAATATTACTGCTCAATTTTAAGGCAAACAATAATAGCAGTGGCATCAATGGAATTAATAAGCATTCACAGTGTGACTGTATTTTATAATGACAGGAGGAAAGCTGGAAATTCCCATACTTCAAAAGCCTACAATCTTGTTGAAAAAGTAAAGCTATCCTAATGACTTATCCTAATGAAAAGATTCTTAAAAATTGACCTGAATAAAGCTCTGGGTTGTGGAACTTCTACGAATTCCCCACTTCACTACAGTCTAGCTTACTTTAATAATTCATTAATACCAAATGAGAGTATTCCTAAATGAAGACCAATGCCCCTGTGTGGGGTGTCTGAGAAACACCGGAGTTTCAAGTAGAATCTATCTTAAACAATTAAGATAACAGCACACAAAAATTCCCATTTTCAGGAAAGAGATAAAGCATTTTCTCAGAGCTCAAAACATTTTTTCACTGCCTACCCCATCACTAATCTGTTGATCCGACACAACTCTGCAAAGAACAAACTGAGAGGAAAAATCATTCAACCAAGAAGTGTTATCTCATAGTAACTGTACCAGTAATTCACAGCCTACATTCCAAAACAATGCTATACAAGTTAATTTATTTTGATCATGCTTCTACTGCCATGTTTGCCTAATAACCTAGCAATTGGTGTAATAGGAACTGCAAACTAACCCATGAACTGGTGACTGATGCATGGAAAATAACTTTGTAGCAGGTTATTAGAAATTTTGCATGCTACCTTGAAACTTGCTCCATTTGTTTAGAAGAATATCTCACCTGATGTTTCATTTAAAAGAAACCAAAACCCAATTCCCCAAAGCTAGGGCATCTAAGCTGGATAAACTACACTGGAATACTTACCTAGAGCTGTAAAATCTGAACCAGATTTGAACAGAGCTGAAGCTAGGAGCTGAAACTGTAAAAGAAAAATAGAAGCAAGTTAGCTGGCTAAGCATATTAGAAAAAAATAACATACCATTTATTAGCCACTGTATTGTCTCTGCACATGTGCTGCCTAAGTCTATTCAACAAATAGTAACAAGAACACTACGTTTAGATTAAAGAATATGCTGATTTTTCTACTGGACTCCTTTCCAAAATACTGGACCAAGTCTTGGAATTATTTTATTTTTAAAACTTATTAAAGTATGTATTGTGAACAAACAACAGGTTAACTGAACTTGAGAATATTTAGAACTATGGTATTTACTTTAATTTGGGAGAACTATTCATCTTTATCTTGAATGAGGATGCTGGAAAATAGGTAAATTAAAGGAAGAGAGTAGACCAGTGAGTAGAATCTCAATGGAATTACTTAGCACTTTGTAAGACCTAAGTGGTTGATACCACTGATTCCTCAGGATGTATTTTATACCTGTGCTTCCAGCCTTTAAAACTTCAGGTATCAATCACATTAATATTTGTAAGCCCTGACGAGTGGTCTTTTGAAGGCCAGAAACTGGACAAATATCCTAGAGGAATTATCTAAGCAAGAGTTTAGGGAAAAAGGGAACAAAAGGAAGAATTTAAAATCTGTGTTTGTTTGTTTTTTAAATATTCTGGGTATTAGTCCTCTGTCATATATATCTACTGCAAGTATTATTTAGTCTGTGGCTTTTCTATTTTTCTAATGTCTTTTATGAAATTTTACTTCTGTTGAAATCCCAACTTATCAAGATTTTTTAAAAGATTTATTTATTTATTTGAGAGAGACTGCACATGGCAGGGTGGGGGGAGGAGGGTCGGGGAAGAGGCATAGGGAGAGAGAATCCCAAGCAGGCTCCATGCCCAGTGCAGAGCCCAAAGCAGGGCTCAATCTCACAACCTCCAGATCATGAGTCAGACACCTAACCGATAACCGATTTCCTACCCAGGCGCCCCCATATTTTTTCTTTTATGGTTCTTTTATGGTTACTGCCTTTGTGTCATTTCCAAGAAATCTCTGTCTATCCCAATGTTGTAAAGATGTTTTCTTCTTGAAGCTTTATTGTTTTAGATATTATATTTAGGTCCATCTTAAATTAGTTTTTGTGTGAGACAGGGGCTGAGATATCAGTACCATTTGTTAAAAAGACTTACCAATTCCCCATTGGACTTGGCATCCTGGCCAAAAAAATCAACTGATCACATACATGTGGGTCTACTTCTGCACTCTGTTCTGTTCTACTGATCTGTCTATCCCTAAGCCAGTACCACAATGCCTTGTTTATTGTGGCTTATACAGAATCTTGAAATCAGGTGGTATGAAACCTCTAACTTTGTTTTTCTATTTTCAAGTGTTTTGACTAGTTCAGGGCCTCTGCTTTTCCATATAAATTTTAGAATCAGTTTGCCTATTTTTTTCAACAAAGAAATCCAAACTTGCCATAATATTGATAGGGACCACATTAAATTAAAAACCAATTTGGGGAGAATGGGCATCTTAACAATTCTTAGTCTTTCAATCCATAAAATGTGATATCTCTCTCCATTTATTTCTTACAATAGACTTATTACTACATATTTATTGTGGGATTAATATAAACAGGTTTAAAATTTTCCAATTGTTCACTGCTAATATAAAAATATTGTTTTTTTTTTCTACTGACCTTGTATTCTGTAATCTTGCTAAATTTACTTATCTTAGTATTATTGTTTTGTAGATTACATGGGGTTTTCCATGTACACAATAATGTGATCTACACACAATTTTCCTTTCCAATCCATATGCTGTTTATTTCTTTTTCTTATGGCACTAGCTACAACTTCTGGCACAATGCTGAATAGAGGGTGTCTACTGACAGCAGACATCCTTTCCTTGTCATAATCTTTAGGGAAAGAGTTTTACAATTAAGTATAGTACTAGTTGTTATATTTTTCATAGATGCCCTGTATGAGATTTAGGAAGTTTCTTTTCAAGTTTACTAAGAATTTTTTTTTTTAATCATGAATGGGTTTTTAATCATGTCAAACACTTATTCTTCACTTATTGAGATGATCTGTAGTTTTCCTCCTTTATTCTGTCAGGGTGGTGTATCACTGATTTTCAAATGTTAAACCAACCTTAAATTCCTAGAATAAACCCTCACTTGGTCATTGTGCATTAACCTTTTTATATATTGCTGGATTCAATTAACTAAAATTTTATTAAGAATTCTGCATCTACATTCACAAGAGGTCTATAGTTTTCTCTGCTTGTACTATTTTTATTGGGTTTTTACTGAGAAAGCCATTTAGAACTACAGTTTTCTTTGTTAGAAAGTTTTCAATTACAAATTCAGTCTATGTCTGTAATTGATACAGAGTTCCTTAAGATTTTCTAATTCTTCCTGTGTCTGTTCTGTTGTGTCTTCTAAGGAATTTGTCCATATCATCAAGTAGCTGAATTTGTTGACAGTTGTTCATAGTATCTCCTTATTCCCTTTTTATGTATCTATAGGGTCCATAATGATGCTGACAATTTATATTTTCACTATTTTTTTCTTTGTAAGTCTTGCTATTTTATTCACATTTTCAAAGAACCAACTTTTCTCTTTTTAAATTTTTTTCTTTTGTTTCCTATTTCACGAATTTCCTATCTTCTACTTATTTGAGGGTTAATTTGTTCCTCTTTTCTGACTTCTAAGGTGAAAGATAAACCCACTGGTTCTACATACAAAAGGACAGGGTGAAAACTATTATTTTAATAATCTGATTAAGTGGAACTGATATGTACTGGCCTGATATGTACAATAGGTACCAAGTGATATTACATAATCTGAATAAAGCCAGACATGAATATCCAACTATCACCTCAACGTATAAGGTTGGCTGTTCAACAGGCATCTCAACTGGAGATATCCAACATTATACTCCCGATCCCAGTCAGGAGCCCCCATCTATGACCACAAACTGGGTCTACCCAGGCACTTCTCATTTCAGTTGATAATAGCTCCATATACTCAGGCTAATAACTCTGGAGTCATTTCTTTCAAACCCTACATCCCATCGATCATAAAACTCTGTTGGTATTACTTTTTTTTAAGTTTTATTTAAATTCCAGTTAGTTAACATGTAGTGTAATATTAGTTTCAGGTGTACAATACAGTGATTCAACACTCCCATACATCACCCAGTGCTCACCACAACAAGTGCACTCCTTCATTCCCATCACCTGTTTAACCCCACGCCCCCCACCTCCTGGTAACCATCAGTTTGTTCTCTACAGTTAAGAGTCTGCTGGGGCACCTGGCTGGCTCAGTCAGTAAAGCGTGTGACTCTTGAGTTGGGGTTGTGTGTTTGAGGCCCACGCTGAGTGTAGAGAGTACTTAAAAAAGTCTGTTTCTTGGTTTGCCTCTTTTTTTCCCCCTCTTTGCTCATTTGTTTTGTTTCTTAAATTCCACATATGAGTGAAATCATATGGTATCTGTCTTTCTCTGACTGACTTATTTCATTTAACATAATACTCTCTGGCTCCATCCATACCATTGCAAATGACAAGATTTCATTCTTTTTTTATGGCTGAGTAATATTCAAGGGTGTGTGTGTATGTGTCAATTGATGGATACTTGGGCTATTTCCATATTTTGGCTATTGTAGATAATGCTGCTTATAAACATCAAGGTACACGTATCCCTTTGAATTAGTGTTTTTGTATTTTTTGGGTAAATACCTAGTAGTACAATTGCTGGATTGTGTGGCAGTTCTATTTTTAACTTTTTGAGGAACTTCCCTACTGTTTTTCCATAGTGGCTGTACCAGATTGCATTCCCACTGTTGGTTCTACTTTTAATATATATTGAGAATCTGATCTACTTTACTTCTATTTCTACTGCTGCTACTTTGGTGTGCACTACGATAATCCCTTGCTTAGATTTCTACAATCTCTTTTATAGGTCTCTCGGCCTCCATTCTTACTCTCCTTTAGTCTATTCTCAATACAGCAATCAATCAGAGTGATCTTAGATTTTAGTGATCTTAAGTCAGGTAAGACAAAGCAGACACATCACTCCTCTGCGTAATACCTTGACCTGGCTCCGTATTCATTTAGAGTAATAACCAAAGTCCTAACACTGACTTAGGAAGTCACTCACAGTCTGATCTCCCAATCCCTGCTCTTACCTCTCTGACCTCATCTGTGACCACTCCCATTATTCTTACCTCTACTCTGGCCACAGTGGCCTCCTTGCTGTTCTCCTAAACAAAGCCAGGATGCTCCCACCCTTGGGTCTTTGTTCTAACCCTCCCTTTGCCAGGAATTATCTTCCCCAAATTATCTACTTACATCACTTCCTCACACCCTTCAAGTCTTTGTGTACATCTTATTTCTAAATGAGGCCTATTAAGAGCATCCTATTTAATACTGCAACTGTCCAATTCTCACCCCTCCTAATTCTGATCTCTCTTTACCCTTTTTATCTCTCTTTAATTTTCCCATAATACCTATCATTACTAATGTACTACATAATTTGCTTATTTAATATGTTTATCATCTCTCACCACTAGTAATAAGTACCACCCAGGCAGATATTTTGCTTGGTTCACCAATATATTTCCTGTGCCTAGAAGAATGCCCGGCATATTGTAGGGACTCAATACACATCTGTTAAATGAATGACACCAGTACTTTGGAAGCTCAGCAGAAATGTAATTAATACAAAATGTGTAATACTGGCTCAAAACTTGTTTTTCTCATTCCTTCTCTATTATAGAATCTTCTCTGAAAACGGCAGAATTAATTTAGGCAAACTTGTCTCGGGCCTTTTCTAGAAAAAAAAAATCATTTTCATAGGGTTTATCAGCAGCTCATTGCCAATTTAGATTGCACGTTCTGGAGACTGGAGGAAAGCAAAAAATCATTATTTGGCATACAGCTGGTAGTCCATCATCATTTTTCCAATAATAGGCACAGTGATGATCATCATCATGATAACTGGCCTCCCAAAAAAGAGAAAAACCTAAAAACCACTTCTAGTTTCTGATACAATCATTTAATATAGTAAAAATTTTTGTAAAATATACAGAGAGAACAAAAACAAGCTTCTACAGAAAACAAATAGTAAGGTCTTTTTTGATAAGTGGAATGATATCTTATAAGGAAAGTGAAGATCTATATGCCTTACTAACAAATACTCTAAGTATATACCCTAGAACTGTCACCAAAGGATTTCTTTTCCCAAAACAAAATCCATTTACACATTTTTAAACAAAATAATAATCTTACAGACCAGTAATCCTCAATGTCAGCAGTGTTTTCTGTTACATAAGAGCAGGCGAGAGACTCTTAGGGTGAGGGTATTGTTTTGAAAAAGTCTCTGAAGCAATTCTGATGCTGACACACACACACACACACACACACACACACACACACACAGTACCATTTTAACTAACTTCTATTAGGTCTAAACAACTCTTGATACATAAAGCTTTTAAAAAATGGAAGTCTGTGGCATATAAAATCATAATTTCAAACTACAGAGGAGAGGAGAAAAAGAGAAACCTGCTACCAAAATTTTTAAAATGGCTCTGTTTGAACTTGAGATACCTCCCTGTCCTGGTTTTTCCCATTAGCTTAGCTTTAAGAACAAACTGTCTGTTTTCTTTGGCCTACTTGCAGTTCACACAGCTGAATTTATTTACTTTGCAATATTTTGTTTTGGTTTGGTTTTAAAAAATAAGAGAAAAATGAATGTTCCCGGGTTAGAGCCATTTTAGATAGACTATGGAGAAAACACAAGGAAATCTATTTATAACTTTCAAATGCATGGTCTAATAAAAATGAAGATTAATAGACTCTTTACAACTACGTTCAGTTATAAGCCATAAAAGATGAAACCAAACATACTCTGCTACTTGGCAAAACTATGACAGTTTCACCATTTCAAATAGTATCATGAATTGATTGAAGACTCAAGGAGAGACAATTAACTGTCCCCCTTCGGGGGAAGGGGTTCCTAAAACTGATTCTCTGCCTAGGGAAGGGTTATAACCCAAACTGACTAAGAGCAATCAGACTTATTTTCACAGTAGGCAACTATGAAAGAGAACCTCTTTGTTTTGGTGCCAAGGAAATGCAGGCTCTACTGCTGGAAAGTACAACGAACCTGGTACCTGCAAGTGATTTGACATTAAATCTGAAACCTGTGTCATCACTGAACAAGAAAAAAGCACTGCTTGATGGCTATTGCAAAGCCAAAGCAAAGCAACAGAGAACAGGGAAATGGATGGTTGGGACAGAATTATATACCATCAGCACCAGTTCTGTGAGTGGAAGGCAAAATGGACTGCAGTTCACATGCTGCTCGATGAATATGCACAAGGACGCTTGGCAAAAGTTAAAAGTGACAAAAGGAATCTCAGCAGTTAGTAGGAAGACAGGCTGTCAGACTATGAAACTCACTGCAGGTGTATTCACACACTGTAGATAAACAAATATGCCCTAAAAATATTACATCTTCTCTTTTCCCTCCAGTATTAGTAAGAAAAAAAGCCCTGAAAAGTAATGATCTGCTACTAATTTCTCAAGGTCAGGGACTCCTGATGAAAGAAGTCAGTACACTGTAGCTGAACTATTCTGCTATGACATTCATATAACTAAATATCAAGGTAGCAGGGATTCTACTCCTACCAACCACTCTTCACTTTCTTCTTATGAAAGAGGAGAGTTTTCTTTCTTCTCTTATGGGATTTTGGAGTATCAAGAGAAAAGTTTATATTGAGCCATTATGTAATCCTTAAGTGAAAGAAGCATGGGACTACAGAAGTAAAAATTTCTATTTCCTTCCCAACACACAAAACTCATGTCTAAGCTAAAACTTTAAACCTGAGAATCCTTTTCTGAAAGGATCAAGGGCTTTTTGTGTGACCTGAACCTTTTATCATCACATGAAAGTAAGCCTATTCAATTTTTATTTCATCTGCTCTGGGCTACTTTAAAAATTATTAGTGTCATCATATTTTCCTCATTTTCCTTTAAACATCTAAGAGAAAAAATAGCAAGTTTTTACCTCTTTCGTCTCTTCTGGGTCTGAATGATCCACAGTTATATAAAGATCGTTTTGTAAATATTTCAGAGCACTAAGGGGGTCCATTTGGGCCTTTTCTTCAAACCTAGAAAATGTAAACAAGAATAATAATTGTCTGGAGTTACGAGAAAACATCAGAAATGTCATTCAGACCTGCAGTGGAATACTCTGTGTCTGAGGAGTCATTGCGGGTATCTAACAAAAACCTGTGTTTGGGAATCCAGAAGTGCAAACACTGCCCCGGAGAAGTAATGGTAATGCCAGGTGGGCACAGGCATCATGGTGCTAGAGACTGAGGGGAGCACTTCCTACCCTCCTCTAAAACTACAAGCTAAGATTAAATCAACTATGAAACATAGTGAATATGTCAAATATTTTACGTAACAAAACTGCAAAAGAGCTGAATATGTTTCATAAAAAACAAGTAGAGCTAAAATAAAAATACCTGGTTAGATCTGTGTAATATACATTCCACCAGAGGTGCCTAACGGGTACTTTAGAAACAGAAATGAGTAGTTTCTTTTCTATCATTAACACTGATTGAAAAAATATATATTTTAAATTGATTAAATATTTTTAATAAGATTATTTCCTGTCTCAGTCAATAATAATAAAAACAACCGTAGCAATTACTTATCAAGCGTGTTATGTGCTAGACACTGTATTGAGTATTTTACATATATTACTTCATTTACCCCCACTTTGATGACAATAAACTTTTATTATTTTTTACAGATGAGAAACTGAGGCTCAGAATGAACTCGGCCAAGATAAGAGCTAAAAAATGGCATAAGTAGAATCAAACGCAGATCCATCTGATTCCAAAGGCTGAAAAGAAAACAATGAGTTAGTTCTCTAACAGAAAAAAAATCTGCTTGGGACTGTTTATCTATTTAAATCTTTTGTTATGGCATAATTATATATGGATTTATTTGTAATAAGTTGGTATGCTTTTCAAAATATTGTACAGAGAGAAAGAAAAGAAGACATTTGATTTCACTTGGGAAAGGAAAACAATGAGCCTTTCACAATGGTGTTCAGGCTGATGGCATCAATAATTTCCTGTGTTTAGAGCTCATCTCAGAGATAGAGTACCTGTATTTCAAGCAGGGCAAAGACTAGCAAAATTTTACAGCTCTGTTGTATCAGATAGTACCATGCCTGTCAGCTAGCCTTCAAGCCCTCAGATGAGAGAGCTCCTTAGGCAGAGGTCATGTTACTCTACCATCTTGTCCAAAATGGGTTAGACCAGTTTTGGCACCTGAGACAAAAGCAATCCTCTGAAACTTGATCAGCAGTCTATAAAGTATCCTGGCAGAATTATTCCCAATAGGGATACTCTCCCCAGGGAGCCCTCTCTAAGAAGATACTCTCTTAGAGAACCTGAATGTGAGATACACAAGGACATAAAAGACACACAAAACACAGAAGTCAGTAAATAGAAGACATGAGATGGTAGGTAGATCCATTTTCCTAGAAGGTGTGTTTTCTCTCTTTTTTCTAAGCTTTCTTTGGCCTGCAAAAACTCATCATTGGATTTATGTCTGCAATCTAGAGTTCTATTTCAGCCAACAACTGTGTCCTGTACCTAGAAGAACAGAAATTAACCCTATTAAAAAGTTCTTCTTTTGTTCCTTTCTACCCCAAATTGTTGATAAGTCTGTAAATTTCAATGTTATAGGGAAAAATAACAGTGGTATTTATTTACTGTACTGCATGGTACCATTAAGAACAAAGACACATTTCTTGGCATACAGTATACTTTTCTCCTTCCAAATTTATATTTTAACTAAACAGAATACGTAACTGTTTTCCATAAGAACAATAATGAAAATAAACAAGCCAGCCCAGCAGTATAGAGTAAGGTCCCACAGAATGAAACACTAGTTATCCATTTTGATATGAAATTTAAATTAAAAAGGTAATTCTCAGGCTCTATTTCAATTCATATAAAGCAACTTCTATCTATTCTGCCTGCAATGTAGCAATGTCCCTCAAACTCTTAAATTCATCTAAGGGTTGGTAGAAAAAAAAAGTCTATGTCTTTTCAAATATCTAAAATGGGCCTGGGGCACCTGGCTGGCTCAGGCAGAGGAACATATGACTCTTTGATCTAGGGCTTGTGAGTCTGAGCCCCACACTGGGGGTAGAGATTACTTAAAAATCAAATCTTTAAAAATAAATAAAAATAAATAAAAATAAATAAGTAAATAAATAAATAAAATGGGCCTTTGACTATCAGTTCAAATTAGTAGTAGACAAGATTCTCAGGATGCCACGACTACTCTCCTTTCATACCCATATCCAATCCATCAAGAAATTCTGTTGGAGCAATCTTCAAAGTTTATCCAGAATCTTACTGGGCTTTCTTGATCTCTTTTATGGAGTGTCTCTCTTCCTCTGCCTTCTCTCAAATGGTGGCGGTCATCAGATAATGCCAACATCTCTCTACTCTTCTAAGCCAGCTCCTTTTCTTTGTTGATGACTCACAAATGTAATAATCAGCACATGCCTTTCCTCCAAATGCTAACACATGACCTCTAAAACCTAAAGCGCACCAAACTGAACTCATCCTTCCCAACAAACAAACCTGTTGTTTCTGAAGAATTCCCCATCTGAGTGAAAACAGCCACACCCTTTTACTCAGTTCTTTTGGAAGAAAACCTAGAATGGTTTTTATTAAAAGAGAAATCTGAGTGTGTTATTCCTCTACGTAAAATCTTTTAATGCTCTCCTTTCGCTCAGAGTAAAAGCCAAAGACCCTTCACCAATTGTCCCCTTCTTATCTCTCTGACCTCATTTACTACCACAATCACCTCACTCATTCTACTTCTACCACACTGTTCTCCTCAATTTATTCCTCAAATAATCCAGGCATATTTTTAACCTCAGAGCCTTGTCTATTACCTATCTGGAACACTTTTCCTCTCAAATATCTACATGATTCGTTCCCTCATATTCTTTATTTTTTTAAAAAGATTTATTTATGTATTTATTTCAGAAAGAGAGAGAGAGAGAGAGGGCGAGCGCGGGTGCAAGTTGGGGGAGGGGCAGAGGGAGAGGGAGAATCTCAAGCTGACTCTGCACTGAGTACAGAGCCCGATGTGGGGCTTGATCTCATGACCATGAAATCATGACCTGAGTCCTGAAATCAAGAGTCGGTTGCCTAACTGACTGAGCCACCTAGGTGCCCTTCTTCCCTTGTGTTCTTTAGGTCACTACTCACCTTTGCAGTGAGGTCTATCCTAATATTCTTATTTAAAAATCACATACCCAGCTCCCTAACTTGTACAAAATAGTTCTTAACCTGTTTTAGTTCTTTTTCATAATACTTATTAACATATAAATTCCTTATTATGTTTACTGCTAGTCTTCCTTCAAAAGACAGAAACTTGGGGATAGGAATTTTTGCTTATTTTCTTCACTGACATATCCACAGAGCCTAGGATAATATCTAGCACATAGTAGGTGCTTAATAAATATTTCTGCAATAAATGAAATTTCACTGATGTATAAAGACCCACAGGTAGTTGTTCTGGCCATTTTATACATGAGCAAAGTGATCTCCAGAAAGATGAAGTTACAAGGCTTAAAGATCAATCCAAGGTTCAGGTCAAGTACTTTTTCCAATATAAGACATGAGCTCCTAAAACTGAAGTCAAAATGTAATCACAATCAGAAAAGAATAATACTGTGTTCCATATTTTTATGCTACTATTACTACTCTAAATGAAAATACTCTATCTCAGTCATTAACTGTCTGCCTTCGGCTCAGGTCATAATCCCAGGGTTCTGGGATTGAGCCCTGCATTGGGCTCCGTGCTCAGCGGGAAGCCTGCTTCTCCCTCTCCCACTCCCCCTGCTTGTGTTCCCTCTCTGGCTCTGTCTCTTTCTGTCAAATAAATAAATAAAATCTTAAAAAAGAGAAGAAAAGAAAATACTCTATATAAATGGATAGGGTCTTTAAACGTTAAATTCTCCTTTCAGGGCTTTTCTGGTTTCAGTTCTGAGATGAGCTAGCATACTTCTTTTCCCATGGTAGAAAATTTCAAAGGCTGCTTCTCTGACCCATCACACGAACTTGTTGCCTCTCAGCTTCAGGCACTATTTTATGAACCATTCTCATCCTCACAAAATTTGCTAGAGTTTCATCATATACTTAAAGGTTTAAATGATTTGTTACTGATTATTATCTTTTATTCTTTATCCACTGACATTCCTTACTTTACGCCTTTTACCAGCACAAGTCACTAACAATGGTGTTCGTACTTAAAACTTAAAACATACCATAATATATTTCAGATTTCCACAAACTGTCATTTCACCTGCCCACTGATATATTTTCAAAAGAGAAAAACATCCGTCAAAGATTAAAAAAAATAATAATACTTCTCACAATGGTGTGGCTGAGAAAATGAATAATCCTACTTACTTCCGGAAGGAATGAAAATTAACTTTCTGGAGGGCAACTGATAATTCACCAATTCTACCAATATCCTACAGAATTTTTGGGTAGGGGTAGATATGGAAGTATGTAATAATATTACAGTATTATTTATAAGCTGGAAGTAGTCTAAATATTTTACAAAAGTAAACTAATTACACATAAACTAGAACACTATGCAGCCATTAGAATTCTAATTTGTATTTGTATTTATTAACATGGTAATAAGATGTTTGTAATATATCATTCATTGAAAGAAATCAGATTCAAAGCACTATGATCCCTATTTTTCAGTTAAACAAAAACATATGTGTGCACATATAAAGGATACAACAACCACAACAGTAAGTTGTTATTTCTCAATGACGGGATGATGCATGATTCAATTATTTTGCAGGGTGAGAGGGCTTATTTTTTTTTTTACTAACCATACATTACTTTTTTAAATTAAAAGCCAGAGGAAAGTGTTTATAAGTGAATTCAAATTCTTTACATATAGTACTAAAAAATCTCCTCTATTCTCCAATGGGCTCCTGCTCAGGAAATTTTTAAAAAGCTCAATTTAATATACAAGTACCCATTACTGTATCTGAAGCAGAAAAAGAATGCTGTAATTTCCTTAAATTTGTCTCATCCTTGAAAAACTAACTGTAACATTAAGTAAAATACTAAGGAATAAAATTTTAGCAGTGTACACCTTAGTTGAAGGTGCCTCAAGTTTAAATCTTATTAATAAAACAAAATTTATCTCGTCATCCAGTCAACAAGAGGATTCAGACCCTTTCTCCTGTAGATTCTACAGGAAATACACTAATTACAGTACTGCCAAAGTAACAGAAGTAACTAGCTTCTGTTATTAATTTATCTTTCAAGCACTTGTGAAAACAGAGAAAGGAACAATAAGTAAACATGATATGATAAAGGAAAACAGTTTAATAATTTATACCAGAGATTTTTATGTATTTATATTCTACATAAAATAAATATATATAATAGACATATAAACATGTATGTGTAAATACACAGACATACGTGTATGCATGTGTAGTGGTGATGGTGGTGGTGAAGTGATGAATGCTGGAGCCATATCCTGGCTGTGTTGCTTACAGCTGAGTGACCCTAGATGAATTATATGACCCATTTAAAAATACCCCATTGCTTCTTTTATGAAAATAGTGATAAGAACAGTACTTATTCAATTGTCTCATTGTAGGAATAATATGTTAGATCTAGCACACAAAAATTGCTCAATAAATGGTAACTATTATCATTAAAGCCTAAACTTCTCCTTCCAAACTATAAACTTTTCTTACCTTCGAACATTATCAATAACTAAAAGGACAGATATGCTTTTCTACACTTTTCAGTAGCTTATCATCACCTGCTAGGGCTCAAAAGCAAACATGACCCAGGAGATATATACGAAAATGTTTGACTACATGATTTTGCAATTAAATGGCAAAGTTAATGATGTGAAACCAAAATCATATTTGAAGTTGTATTCTGAAACATCAGATTAAGAAGATAGTTAGTCAACTATATCATCGCATTCACTGTTAAGAAAGTTACCAATAGGCTAGGCATATGGCAATAATATAGTACTGATGTACTTTGTACTGAGTAGGCCTTGAATTACTGGAAGATAGGTTCATCACCTTCATAGAAATTTCTTCCATTTAACAGTTGCAAAATTTCCTTGTTCTATATCTAGAAAATTTTAGCATCAATATGTATCTTCACTTTGTATCTTCCGAAAGAGGAAAGCAAAAATAAGGAAAATAAAAGGACATTTACAAGAGTCATGATCTTCACAGTATTTACACTGTAGTATTAGTAGATTTCCAAAGACAAAGCCCTATTTCCAAAGTCGAGGTAACACCAGCAATAGCTAATAATGTTAAATAAAAGTTTTCAGTGAATTATTTTTATACCTGTGTTTTCTTATGAGGTACTTGCAGTGCCTCAGTAAGTAATCTTTTGAAGGCCTACATAACTTCAGTGACCAGAAGTCATCTAATCTCATCTTTGGAGAGCAAGATTTTCCTGGATTCCCACCAAATAAATAATGAACCTAAAATAAACAAAACAAGTCACACTTTAAGATGTATGCAATACTCCGGAAACTACAGAAGTCATAATAAAATTTCTTCATTTTGGTAGCAATGTGTAACAGTAATAATTAAAACATTACTGCATTTCTAACAAAGGCTTCTTTTGATGTTTCTCACTTCCATTTTACTTTAAAGTACTGCGGCTACTTCCTTAAGCTGAATTTTAGATTAAAATGAGCTGTATTACCACAATTATACTGACAATGGAAGACGTGAAACAAAAGCAGTGATAGTAAGAAGCTAATCCACGATAAAGAGTTTACTTAGGGCAACAAATAATGGAAATTATTAAGTTAACCAAGTGTTGATCATAATAACAAACAAGATCTTTAATAAAACTCTGACACACATGTTGAATCACTGAAGGTCAATAGTAACAAGAACTTTTTAAATTTTGGCATCTTAATTTTGCTTTAGGCTTACTGCCAAATATTAAGTGGTACATATAATTTGTGATATAACTTGTAAAATATTACATTTTTCAATACCAAAAAAAAGAAATGAAAAAGGATTGCAATAATGATTTCATTGGTATAATTTTAGTGATATTCTGTACTTCAACAAAGTGTTAAAACAGTTCCTGAAGTTTTGAAAACATGTATGTTCAACAGTGTTATACAAGAGCGATATTACTTCTATCCTACAGATCAAAATTCATTTACCCTTTAATCTGGGAGACTCAAAAAGAGAAAGGGCTTTTATTCACTCTTAGGGTATCATTTACCTAAAGGTCTGAAGTGATATAGAATTTAAATAGTCACCTATGGCCCATACAAAAGGAGTACAAGCTTTGTCAATAAGTTATTGTATAATCTGAGCCCAATCACTAAACTATATGTAAAGTTTAAGGGAGACACAGTTTAAAGAAACCACCCTGAACACTTAGTGACACTAAAACTTGAGAATGCAGGACTGTTTTTGTGACGCCAACAGAAAAAACACGTCACGTCACAGGAAAAATAAAGATAAAAAGACTCCTTACACAATAGGAAAACCTAAAATCAGAAGTTACATATACTTTTTCATTTCATGGGACAAGGTATCCTAATGCTAAAAACTGTAGATTTTTTAGTTGGATATTGATATTGTAGAAACAAGAGGTCATGCTATGTATCTGATCTATGCAGCTACAAAGCAAAGTGCAAAAGTGCCAGAAACTTTGGACTATGGAAAATGGTTATTCTCTTAAGGAATTTTAGGGAGAAATGATATTGGATGTCTGCTATATATTCTATGATGTCTGCTATATAACTTTTTATTCAAATGCACTTAAAAATAATCAGAAACATTTATTTTGGGATTCTATCAGATTAGAGGTCTTGGAAAGTTTACAAGTCGATGTAGTTATGCTACCTTGTGTAACTCATCATATACAAGCTGATGGGCAAATCTTGGACATGGTTCTTCCTCCTGAAGACTTTTACTTGGATTATCCTTTGCAGCTTGATCATTCTTATAGACGCAAGACCTGCAAGACATTGCTTTTTAAGGCATTCTATCCTAAAATTAGCAGCATATATAATGTTAATAGAACTTTAGCAAGCAAATTAACTGGATGTCTAATTCCAACAAAAAATTTATAAATTTGTTCACATCAAATCTTAAAAGTTCTGGTCATGCTCACACAATAGTATAAATTTGTTAGAATGGAATTCTTACATTCTTTTAATGTCCATCCAAAACCTCACTTAAGAACAACCTATTTCACATTATGAAACACGGACAGCATATATGCAAGTTCAAACCAAAGTCTAAAGGACAAGATAATTCCATCTATTTATTCACAATAAAAAAACTCACAGATTTCTTTCAGTTTTACTGCTTAAAATAAATGTCCTACTTTGGAAATAATAAATTCCTTAGTTGCAAGCGTGGAGGAAGTTCTCTGAAGCTCCTGTTCTGTAAAATATCTACTTATGCAGTAATCACAGAATGTTTGAGCTGGATTCTCTGGGCCATTGTTTTCCAAAGCAAAATGTGCAGCACTAGTTCTGTGAGACTACTCTGTGACTTAAAGGTCCTGGTTTGAAAACACTAAATAATGCCTCCCACCCTGCTCTACTGAGATCAGTTAATTTGTCAAAATTAAGACCACTGGGAGGGGAAGGGAAGGAAAAATAAAATAAGATAATAACAGAGAGGGAAGCAAACTGTAAGAGACTCTTAAATATAGAGAACAAACTGAGCCTTATTGGAGGGGAGGTGGGTTGGGGTGGGGGAGATAAGCTTAATGGGTGATGGGCATTAAGGAAGGTACTTGTTGGGGTGAGCACTGGGTGTTTTTTTGTTTGTTTGTGTTTTTTTAAAAGATTTTATTTATTTATTTGACAGAGAGAGACACAGTGAGAACAGGAACACAAGCAGGGGGAGTGGGAGATGGAGAAGCAGGCTTCCCGCCGAGCAGGGAGCCCGATGCGGGGCTCGATCCCAGGACCCTGGGATCATGACCTGAGTGAAAGGCAGATGCTTAACGACCGAGTCACCCAGGCGCCCCGAGCACTGGGTGTTTTATGTAAATGATGAATCACTAAATTCTACTCCTGAAACCAATACTATACTATATGTTAACTAACTTGAATTTAAACAAAACAGAACAAAACCAAGACCACCTGGGAACATTAAAAAAAAATTGTTCTCAATTTCACACATCTACTTAGTAGCAAAATCTAGACTAAAATACAATGCTCTTGACTTCCAGACCAGGAATCATCTACTAACTGAAAAATTCAGAGGTAAAATCCATTCACAGAACAAATTGTATACATAGGCACCAATACTGACTTCTTTTCTCAATATAGGCATACACCTCTGAGATGTTGTGGGTTCAGTTCCAGACCACCACAATAAAGCAAATACTGTAATTAAGTGAGTCAAAGGAATTGTTTCCCAAAGCATACAAAAATTATGTTTATACTCTTCTGTGGTCTATTAAAACTATGCAACAGCATTATGTCTACAAAAACAATGTACATACCTTAATTAAAAAAATACTTTATTGCTAAAAAAATGCTAACCAACCTCTGAATTTTCAGCAAGTCATAATCTTTTTGCTGGTGGAGGGGCTTGCCTCAATGTTGATGGCTATTAAATGATCAGAGTGGTGGTTGCTGGGGCAATTTCTTAAAATAAAACAGTTGACCCTTGAACAATATGGGTCTGAACTACAAGGATCCAATGTAATGCAGATTTTTTTACTTTTTTTACATTTTCTCTTTCCTTATGATTTTCTTAACATTCTTTCCTCTATCTTACCTTAAGAACACAGTATATAATACATATAACATATAAAATATGTATTAGTAAACTGTTTATGTTATTGACAAGGCTTCTGATCAACAGTAGGCTATTAGTAGTTGGGTTTTTAGGGAGTCAGGTTATACATGGAATTCCAACTGTGTGGGGGTTGGCACCCCTAAGGCCTGTGTGGTTCAAGGGTCAAGTATAATGAAATTCACTGCATCAACTGACTCCCTTTCATCAACTATTTCTCTCTAGCATGCAACGCTGTTTGACAACATTTTACCCATTAGTAGAACTTCTTTCAAAATTGGAGTAAATCCTCTCAACCCTGCTACTGCTTTATTGACTAAGTTTATGTAATATTCTAAATCCTCTGCTGTCATTTTTACAATCTTCACAGAGTCTACAACAGGAGTAGGTTCCATCTCAAGAAGCCACTTTGTCTCTCGCAGCAATGCAGTGACATTGTCAGGCTCCACTTCTAATAATGGTTCTCTTGCTCTTTCCATCACATCTGCAGTTACTTCCTCCACCAAAGTCTTGAACCTCTCAAAGTCATCCAGGAAGGCTGGAATCAACTTCTTCCAAATTCCTGTTCATGTAGGTATTTTGACCTCGTCCCCTAAATCTGAATGCTCTTCAGGGCATCTAGAATGGTGAATCCTTTCCCAGAAGATTTTCACTTTTCTTTGCCCAGATCCATCAGAGGAATTCATAATCTACAGCAGCCGTAATCTTACGAAATGTATTTCTTAAATAAGAAGACTTCAAAGTTGAAATGACTCACTGATCCATAGGCTACACAATGAATGCTGGGTTAGCAGGCATGAAAACATTAATCTCATTCTCCATCTCCATTAGAGCTCTTGAATGACCAGGTGTGTCCTCAATGAGCAGTAATATGAAATGAATCATTTTTTCTGAGCACTCAGTCTCAACAGTGGGCTTAAAATGTACAGTAAACCATACTGTAAACAGATGTGCTGTCTTTAGGCTTTGTTGTTCCATTTACAGAGCACAGGCACAGCAGATTTATCATAATTTTTTTTATTAAAGATTTTATTTATTTATTTATTTATTTGAGAGAGAGAGAGAATGAGAGACCGAGAGCACGAGAGGGAAGAGGGGCAGAGGGAGAAGCAGACTCCCCGCTGAGCAGGGAGCCCGATGTGGGACTTGATCCCGGGACTCCAGGATCATGACCTGAGCCGAACGCAGTCGCTTAACCAACTGAGCCACCCAGGCGCCTTATCATAATTTTTAAGGGTCCTAAAATTTTCAGAATGATAAATGAGCACTGTCTTCAACTTAAAGTTACCAACTGCGTTAGCGCCTAACAAGTTAGTCAGCTTGTCCCCTGAAGCTTTGAAGCTAGGCACTGACTTCTCCTCTCTAGCTATGGAAGTCCTCAATGGCATCTTATTCCAATTGGAGGCTGTTTCATCTACAATGAAAATCTGCTGTTTATTGTAGTCACCTTCATTAATGATCATAGTTAGATCTAAGATAACTTGTAGCTTCTATATCAACACTTAGACGTTACCAAGACAGCTTCTTTCCCTAAACCTCAGGAACCAACCTCTGCTAGCTTCAAACTTCTCTTCTGCAGCTTCCTCACCTCTCTCAGCCTTCACAGAATTGAAGAGTTAGGGTCTTGCTCTGGAGCAGGCTTTGGCTTAAGGGAATTTTGTGGCTGGTTTGATCTATACAAACCTTTAAAACTGTCTTCATATCAGCAATAAGGCTGTTTTGCTTTATCATTCATGGGTTCACTGGAACAGCACTTTTAATTTCCCTCAAGAACTTTTCCTTTGCATTCACAACTTGGCTGTTTGGCACAAGAGGACTAGCTTTCTCTCCCTCACTTGAACACTTAGAGGCCTTTGTAGGGTTATTAATTAGCCTAATTTCAATATGGTTATGTCTCAGGGAATAGGGAGGTCTAAGGAGAGGGAGAGAGATGAGGGAACAGACGGCTGGTGGAATGGTCAGAACACAAACAATATTTATAAATTAAGTTCACCATCTCGTATGGGCACAGTTCATGGCACTCCTAAAACAATTACAACAGTAACATCAAAGATCAAAGATCACTGATAAGCATAATAAATATAATAATAATGAAAAGATCTGAAATACTGTGAGAATTATCAAAATATGACATACAGACATAAAGTGAGCAAATTCTGCTGGAAAAATGGTGCTAATAGACACGCTCAACACAAAGTTGCCAAACCTTCAACTTGTAAAAACTGAAACATGTGCGAAGTGCAATAAAATGAGGTATGCCTGTACTGACACTGAAATGCATGACATCACAAATTAACATAAGTCTTCTATTTCTGTCTTCTTTTGAAGAAACTAACATCCTCAAATAAATGTTACATTGGGATTGAGACACAGACAAGAGCCCCTTACCAACTATTCCTCACAATGTCATAAATCCAGAATGAATTTCTGACATTCTCCTCCCTCTTTTCTTTGTCTTTGCTGAGTCCAGATAAGACATGTATTTCATTCAGTTCTGGATCAATGGTTGCTCTCTGTGTGAATCCTGTCATTGGAACTATAAATTGAGAGAGAAAATAAGATGACAACATTCATGTTAAATAACAAGAGTAGAACCACTGTATAAAAGATACACCCTTGCCCTCTCCCTGTGTCCATGGCACTTACCTTCTAATATTACTACAGAACTTTTATATTACACAATAAATAATTGTTTATTTCATTCTCCCCACTCTAGAATGTAAGCTGTACAAGGCAGAGGTAGTTTGGTTCACTATTTAGTTCCCAATGCCTGGCAAGTAGTTACCCAACTATTTGTTGAAAGAATAAACAAATGCTAACTACCAGACAGGAGCTACAATGAGGGAAGAAGTAGAAAGAGGTATGCAATATAATCATTTTTATTGAGGAAACAAAGGTCAATGCTTTAATTAACTGATTTTTTATCTCAGTCAGCTCTAATTTAATAGTAGAGGTAAAATATTCAAATGTTGACCGGGAAAAACACAAATTTGACAGAAAGTGAAACACAGGTTTGTTTAATAAGGCCAGGGTCATGTAAAGTATCTGTTCGTGACATACAATGAAATGACACAATTTCCAAGTAAAAATAAAACATTTTGGGGTATAATATGCCATTTTGTTTTCCTGAATGGTTCAAACTGCCCAGAGTTAATAATATTTTATTTTTCTAAGAAATCCACTAAATGAGTGATTGTCATTCTGCATTATCCAATAATTTGCAAAACACTAACACAGCAAATGCAAATTTTTCTCATCATTGTTATATGGAAATATTAACTGAAATGTAATTTTGTGGATCATGACATAATTGCCATGAATCTAATACAATGTCATTGTTTCAACACTACATTTCTTTTATACACAAACAATCATCATATGCTCAAAATGCTACACAATTATCAGACTGAAGTAAAATATTTCAATCAACCCAGAATATTATGGCAGGAGACATTAGCCACATTGATCTTCATTTGTCTTTATCTACTTTAGCAGGGCCAAATGATCTGGCATTTATTTTTTTCCTAATTTACCTAAATTCATGTGTCCTTTCACATTCCTATTCAATAAATTTCTTTGTGGAGTATTTTATATTTTTTATTATATATTTTAAATTTCTAAGATTTTATTATTTGAGAGAGAAAGAGAGGATTGAGAGATTGAGGGAACAAGTGGGAGGAGGGGAAGAAGAAGCAGCAGACCCCTTGTGGACCAGGGAGCCCAACACCGGCCTGATTCCAGGACCCTGGGATCATGACCCAAGCCGAAGGCAGATATTCAACCAACTGAGCCACCCAGGTGTCCCTGTTTGTGGAGTATTTTAGAGACTATCCAATGCATTTCACAGTAAATATGATAAAAATAATACACACACACACATTAACACAAATATGTTTATATTTATACACATATGCACATGGACCTAATCTTATTTATTTGACAGAGAGAGACACAGCAAGAGAGGGAACACAAGCAGGGGGAGTAGGAGAGGGAGAAGCAAGCTTTCTGCCAAGCAGGGAGCCCGATGTGGGGCTCGATCCCAGGACCCTGGGATCATGACCTGAGCCGAAGGCAGACGCTTAACGACTGAGCCACCCAGGCGCCCCCTCATGGACCTAATCTTAATAATAATCTCAACCCTCATGCCATGGTCTTTAGTGGTTAAGTCTGGTATTTTCCTAATGACGCTTTCTAAAGTGCTAAGGTTCTGCCCTCTGTTCCTCAGATAACCTTGGAAGAAAGATAAAACAGTAAAGAAATGAAATCACTTTTGTTAGTGGTAGAAGTAGAGGACATAACTGTACTGTATTTAAAATTCATTGTATTTAAATTTCTTCATTCCATTTCATCTTAATACTGAGTCTTTAAATTAAGAACTCTCTAAGATGGGTTGGCAAACTGTGGCTTGATCCGGCCTGCCTAGGGTCAAAGCAGGCCTCATCCATTCATTTACATTTTGTCTGTGGCTGTTTTCATGCTAAGACAGCAAGGTAACACTTGCAATACTGTATGTATAGCTTACAAAACTGAAAATATTTACACCTAGCTCTTCATATAAAAAGTGTGCTAACTCCTGTTCTATAATCTTTTAAAATGTAAATTATCAGAAATGTATGACTTTTTTTTTTTAAGATTTTGTTTATTTATTTGACAGAGAGATAGCAAGAGAGGGAACACAAGCAGGGGGAGTGGAAGAGGAGAAGCAGGCTCCCCGCTGAGCAAGGAGCCCGAGGCAGGGCTTGATCCTGGGACTCCAGGATCATGACCTCAGCGGAAGGCAGACACTTAACAACTGAGCCAAAAAACAAACAAACAAACAAACAAAAAACAACTGAGCCACCCAGGCGCCCCTGAAATGTACGACTTATAAACTAATGCAACAAGCCACTTACCTTAAGTAAGGACCCACTGAGGAAATGGAAATTTTGGGGTGGAATGGAGATCAGTGGAGAGGGAAAAAACTCTGAATTCTTTTTTTTTTTTTTAAACTTTGAATTCTATAAAATGGAAGTGGAGTCATCAAAGACCAGGAAGCAAAGGAGTACTGGGCTGGCGGGAAGCATGTGAGAATGTGGAAGAATGCCCAAACCAAATTTTACATGCTTCTCTTTCTAGACTGTCACATTTTGCCCAGAAGCAGCTTAGGAACAGTAGAGAAAAATGACAAGGATTGCTTCTCAAAAATAGAAGCAGTGGCAGGTTTACAATACTCAGGGAAATCATGCTTATAAAATCTATACCATAAAGTATTATAAAATATTACTTTGATTACAAAGCATACTATAAACTATATATTTCCCATTTCTTTGATCTTCCATATCCAATATGCTTTTTACTCTACATAATGTTGATTTTACCTTCCAGTTATACGTTCAAATGTATTATTGACTTTTAAACAGTTTTATACAGAGATAATTCATATGCCATACAATTCACCCATTTAAAGTGTATAGCTTGGTGTTTTTTAGTATATTCACTATAAAATCATCATCACAATGTAATTTTTGATCATTTATAATACAGAAATCAGATCTGTGTGTCCCAAAAGTGTTTGAAGGCCAACCTAGGAACTTAAATACCAGTAAGTATTGGAAACAAAATAGAAGTAGAAAATCTTTAGACTAGACTTTCTCAATTAACTATGTGATTTCGTGCAAGAAACTTTTTTTTAAAAAAATATTTATTTATTTGAGAGAGAGCACGAGAGTGAGCGCACGAGAGAGCACAGAGGGAGAGGGAGAAGAACTCCCTGCTGAGCAGGGAGCCTGATGTGGGGCTCGATCCCAGGATCCTGAGTTCATGACCTGAGCCAAAGGCAGACACTTAACTGACTGAGCCACCCAGGCGCCCCTACTCTTTTTCTCAAGTTTTTGTTTGTTTGTTTTTTAGTAATCTCTACACCCAATATGGGGCTTGAACTTATGACCCCAAGATCAAGAGTCACATGCTCTTCCATCTGAGCGAGCCAGGTACCTCTTTGCAAGAAACTTTTTTAGACTTTAGTTTTCTTATCTAAAAATTGAAAGTAGAGCTATATTCAAAGCTGAAATTTCTGTTAAGACCCTGGAGGGTGAGAGCAGTGATAGTACCAATGTGCAGCATAGGCAGGCAAAGAGAGAGAATCCTGACATACAGACAGCAGTTAGGCTGTTCTGATGGTACTGCACGAACCGGAAGAAGAGAGTAAGGAAATACCAATAAAGAAGCATTATTTCCAGGAAATGGATGTCATCAGCACAAGGAGGGTAGATATTATGTCCTAAGCACAAAAATTCATTGGACTGACACAAGAGAGACCAAGCTTGAAGCAGAAACGTGTGAAGAAAAGAGTAAAAATGTTTCACTGAATTTTTTTGGAGACATCCAATATTTTACTCTAAGAATACTTAAAGGCAAAATTTCTCAGGGCAAGATTTCTATTAATCTTTAAGTTTACATACTCTTACAAATATAATCTTTATTACATATTAAAGGCAAGGAAAATGTTTACATATAAAATGTTTGTATGTAATTAGAAAAATACGGAAGAACATACATCAAACCATAAATAACAGTCATGTGGGGGGCACTTAGGACACTTTTTAAAAAAAATATTTTACTTATTTATTAATGAGAGACAGAGAGAGAGAGAAAGAGGGAGAAGCAGGCTCCCTGCTGTGGGACTCGATCCCAGGACCCTGGGATCATGACCTGAGGCGAAGGCAGACACCTAACCATCTGAGCCATCCAGGCGCCTTAACACACTTTTTTAAGATTTTATTTATTTATTTGTCAGAGACAGAGAGAGAGAGAGAGAGAGCACAAGCAGGGGGAGCGGCAGGCAGAGGGAGAAGCCGGCTCCCCGCTGAGGAAGGAGCCTGATGCGGGATCCCAGGACCCTGGGATCATGACCTGAGCTGAAGGCAGATGCTTAACCAACTGAGCCACCCAGACATCCCTAGGACATTTTTACTTTTGTTCTATAATATGTATTTTTCTAATATATATTGCTTTTATAATTATAAGGAAAAAGAAAAATCCAAACCAAAATACAAAAAGTATATCTGGGTATAAATACTGGGAACTTTCAGGAAGAAGTGAAAAGTTCTCACACATCCTCCCATATTTGTCATGAAGAACATTTTACATTAATATTTAGAATGTTATTATTTAGATGGAAAGGGAATTCAGGTTTCAAAAGACAGTTTGATTGGCCCTAAAAGAAATATTTTTAAGCCATTTTGCTGGCATGAAGTTACAAAACTAAAGCTAGGCATTGCTTTATTTGAATTAAAGTATTTTTTATTTTTTTCTCCAAAAAATAAAAATGAAAACTTGTATCTGAGGAGTTCCTAACAATCAGGGAGTTAATTCAAACTTACACTGAATATATCTATGTTAATGGCCTTTTGCCTAATTTTTACAAAGTGCACTTAAGCTTAATTCCTACTTCCACTCCATTCCACAAGAGTAACAATTCAAAAACATTAACAAAAAAATTAAGTTTTCCATATCCACCTTCAAAGGTACTCTAGGTTTCTCTAAGAAACTGTTAAA